TATTATTATCATTATTATTATTTTTTTTAGTATTATTATTATCATTATTTTTTATTATCACCATTATTATTATAATACAATCAATACATTCATAAATGTTCAACTTCACGTATATTATTGTATAAGCATTCATTATTTTTACTCGTTAAGTTCCTTATCAGTTTCGTTGTAGTTCTTCAGCAAATGCTTTATTCTTTAATTGTTGCTTGGAATAGAACAAGCGAGTCCTGATTGCTATTTAGATTCTCATCAGTTTTTTGTAAATAAAACTAAATGTATTATAGCAGTTGATAGTTTGCAAGAATATTAGCGATATATTAGCTGTGAAGCTAAATATATTCATCAATAATATTTATGTGTTCTAAATAGTAATGACGATATCTGGGCCCTTACATGATACTAATTTTGCAAAGCCAATACTAGAATTGATAAGAAGTTCGTAGTTAATTTTCTCTCAGAAATCAAGATCACAAGAGTTTAAACAGCCGCTATGAAATTGTTTTTTTTTTTTTTTTTTTGTAAACATTGGGAACCTTACGTCGCTCGATTTTAAAAATAAAATTAGGACGTATGACTAATAACTATATTTCTGACGCATATATCCTTCTCTACCTTTCATAATCGTACCAGGCAAGAATACCTCAAAATACCTCACCAAATTTAACAATGGAGATTTAAAAAAGATATTCGTTTATCGTCTATAACCTGCATGAAATTTACGCCACAGAGTTCGCATCAAAATTTAAAAGACGCATTATTATAGCCTAGTCTCGTATGAACAACTCCAATACCAACGGAGAATTTTAAATCTTATTTCGAATATTCCTGTCCCTGATGAATCGAATGCTTATGATGTATATAAATTTTCTCAACCACCTTTGTAATAATATGTGAGGTTTGAATAATACATGAATGTGTTTTGTGTGTGTCGAGATTAGTTCACTCTAAAACAAAATCCTTAGTTTTAGATTTAAAAAAAGGAATCCTAAAAAGGATACTAAGGATAAGGATACTAAAACAAAAGCAACCCTCGAATAGCTCTTGGTCGGATTGTTCGCTACAAATTCCAATTTTGACCAGGTGTTTAAACAAAAGATTTAAGACAGCGGTATGAAAACTATATAAGTGTTTGTTTAGTTCTTATTTTACGGATGCAGTCTTTCTTGCTTAATGACAATACCAAGAATTAAGAGGCGTGTAATGTATGAAATTAGATCTCGGGCTATCATGTACCGCTATTTTCAAACGTTCCCATGGAGACATTTTTTTATAGATCCCAGCGACTTTCAAACATCTTTGATTTTAAAATGCACCTATTAAAACGTCTTGAATCTCTGAACCAATAGTTAACGCAATTATACCTACTATTCTATATTCGATATTCTGTAATCGCAGGACTTAATTTACTCCAGAATCAGAATTTTATGATTGATGATGTTTCCCCTTGATACGTGAGTCAGCATAACAGGGAACGAATTCCAATGAACAATAATTTGAAAACTTTCTGGTATTTTTTTTAGTTTGTTTAAGGATACTTTCATAAAAAGTTTCCTCAACCTGGAACTTAATTTAAATTTAAGTTTAATATAGCACTTTTTTCGCAAACACCAGATATAAATTTGTTTTTATTTTATAGGTAAATTTTTTTAGTATCATCCAACTTTGGCGAAAAATAATTAACAAATTTTTTGCACTTTATAGGTTTAAGACCTCAATAATTCAATAGAAGGGCAACAACAGGATGAATTCGATCGCTCTATAATTTCTTCCAGCTGCTCATCTTATTTACGCTTATTTATTCTCCACAATTTTTTCTGTACTGCTAAACTAAGAACTTATTTTCATTTCTGAAATTTTCTGGATTAATTGTACGATTAGTATACGTAATTAGTTTAAGCAGCTCACGTTAATTCCAATGAGTTTGTTTGCATTTTCGGAGAGTTGTTCACGACGAGACCGTCTAATTATGTTAGCTATTACAAGCTAGTGTCCGAATTTAATTTCTCTAACTGACAGCCTTGTTAGCGAGTAAATGCCTCGAGGGAATCAAGAATTATCCAGTCAAGACATGCCTCGTGTGTTTTAAGTAAGGAGGAAATGAATAATGATGGAAATTTTAACGAATATCGTAATAACAGCGCGGATTTATTTCTTGAAAATGAATCTCTTCAGAGCTTAAAATTATTTTGCCTTCCATTATATAAATGCTCATCGGTTTTCAAACGCAATAGCTTCAAAATGAAACCGTTCTTGCGGGAAATACGTTTTACGTATCGCTTTAATTCATTTTCGCCATTCATTAAATAATAAACTGAAAATGTATTTAATTAATTTTTTTTTATTTCGCCACTTATTTCATACCTTAATTTTTTTACAGACCTTGTTAACTTTTAACAGTTTTATAATTTTTGAAACTGTGTGCAAAATTTTTCAGAAGGCCTCGCCTCTCCTCCTTTCAAAGCACCGAGGTTAATTCTAAGTGCGAATAGATTTTGTGTTTTTACCTTGGAGTGATTTACGAGGATAAGTCTTAAGTCAGTGCTATGTTAACTCTTCGAGCTTAACATAGCACTGAGCGATTTGTCTCAACATCCATTGAACGAACACGGCTGAATATATTGAAATTTGTTTATGCCTTATAAACTTTTGGAACGTCAAAATTTATCTTGTTTTTCATGAGAAATTTATCTTGTTTTTTCTTTGTTGAGAGTAAATTTTTCATTATAAAAAATGTTCCGCATGTAAAGTTTAAGGTAAAACTGAGCCTGCGACTGACTATCTTCTGATAAAGATCTTTGATGGTGCAAGACAACTGATAGTGATAAGAAATATTTGGATAGATTATGAATTTTGAAACCGACAATAATGTTGTTTTATTACACTTAATTCGTTATTTTTAACGGAGATGGTTACCGCGGCTTCTGCAGATTTGATGTCCTTGATTGCATCGAAATTCGGGGGAAAACGTTCATGTCAAATTTTCGTTTTCATGCCTGCACAACACGATGAAAAGTTTAAGCAAACTTCAACAAACTTTAAGATAAAATGAAAGCATGCAATATATCATAGCTGTTTTGAAAATATTTTAAGTAACTTCACTGAGCGAATTCAGATTTATATATTTAACTCATGGTTATACCAGCAGCTTAGCTCACAATATTTTCTTTCATGTAATTCTCTCGCTACTTTAAAATAACCTAACAAATATCGCCTGCTACAATGCCGCTTTGTTTACTTTTTTTAATTAAACATAATCCAACTATCTTTCCGTCAATCGATCCCTTATTCCAGAACTTCATCACTTCATTTTATTTATTATGATTATTTATTATTCCTAATAATAAATAATCATACCAAATTTTGCAATTCACATTACAAAAATCGTAGCACGATCAAACGAATTCTGCAAATACAATCTTTCTGAAATATATTTTGCTGTTTAATTACAGGGTCCGCCATATTTATGGCAACGGATGTTTGCTGTATAAAAATAAATTGGTTTCAAGGAGACTTATCTCTTATAGTGAAGCTTAATATCATCTATTAATTCATTTATTTTATACTGCAGAAGTCTGAGAATTGTTTAGGTAATTCTTGGCTACTAGCTCATCCAATAAAAAACAATGCACCTGATTGTTTAATTGAGAAATAACAAAAAACATGCGTTGCCATAAATATGGCGGACCCTGTATACGCTTTATTAAATATTAATTAAATATTTTTTCCTTTTATTCAGATGCTGACACCACGCCTCCAGGAACAGCATCGCCTCTGCTGGCAGGGATCATCGGGAGCGTCGTCGTACTGCTGGCACTGCTGACCACTTCACTGCTGGCAGCTACACTGAGACGGTACAGAGCTCGCAGGCTGACAGCAGGGCGCGCTGTCAGTCTACCGTCTGACTGTGCAGATAAGGAGACAGCTGACGGTATCTCTGTCAACGGCGATATCACCCCGGGTAAGTGTAGGGAATTGAGGGGAGTCTAATGTGTTCAATTGTATATTGGTTTCTGTTCTATGAATCTTTTAACTTTACCACACTAACTGTAGCCGTAGTTCATTAACTACAAAAATTAAGCGTTGAAATTGCAAATTTATTATGGCAACATCTGCTGGAATAGCAGATTGCGAACGCGTGATGGAATAGCTTTCCAATAGCTTTACTTGTCTTAGGTGCTGTGTTGGAATTACCTGTTCAGTATTTTTTTTTTGTAAATTATATGTTTTAGCCTTACGTTCACTTTTCTCCTTGTTTATTTCATTGATAACCTGACATTTATTTGTCATAACCTTGCCAGTGTTTCTAAAAAGTATTCTTTTTCATTTGTTTTGTGCATATTTATTCGATAATTGCAACTGATTTGTTCATTCTAATAAACCAACGAAGCGAACCTATGACACATTTATTGAACCTCCTCTTTAGCTTAGAGCTCAGCATGTTACAAGAGCAAACTAATGCTGAAGAGTTCTAAGCGTAGCAGCTTATCAAGAAACCGCTACAATTGCGTTATTTAAATGCATTACTGGACGCGGATCTTCAATTTGGTATAGATAATTAATATATTCCGTGTTTTGTTGCCAATGAGCCTTCAGAGACTCTCAAGCCGGGCGTTGCTCGTTAATTAAATGATATCGTTCATTTATAATTTCAAAAATCATCTGGTGGAGGAAAGAAAATGAAATGAACTAAAATTAGGTTACCGGCAACATTCAATACAGGATATTTAAACTTTCATTACAACATTAATTAGCAATAATCCAATAATATTCATACAGCCTAATTATATTTATTTTCAACTATCTATTCCAGTGAAAAAAACTCTTATAGCAAAAATAATATTTACGAAGCAGTTGGTATTTGTTACATCAAAAAAGTTTCTAATACTCAAAGTTTCTCAAGTAATAAAATAAGCTTTGTGCGATTTACGGACTGATTCAAAACTCTCGGGTCCTCACGTCGAACATTTAATTTACTCTCTATCTCATAGCTTTCAATAACATCGTGTCAGAATTTTGCTAGGTACCTTCAATACTACCAATCAATTAAAATTTATTATTATTGCATTCTTCTCTATGTGCATAATTGTGAAATACACTGAAAATGGATATAATACGTCTTTTTAGCGCATTTTCTCTTTTATGGAAAAATGCACTATTGTGCTCGCCATGTACGTCCATCCGTCCGTCCGTCCGTCCGTCTGTCCGTCCGTCTTTACGTTCGTGACTTCACGTTTTCGGTCGACGAGAAAATGCGCTCTCTGTCACTCACTGCAGTGAGTACTGAGTTATATTTTATTCTTTGACCAGGCGAGTATTCATCAGGCTCGCTGGCGGGAGGAAGTCACCTGCTCCTGCCTGTGCGGGGCAAAGGCGGCCGGAGAAGCTCGAGTTCTGGAGGCATGCAAGGTGTGCTATTCTTTGATTGAAGCCTTTGTATTCAAACCATAAGTATCTGTATTTTTCTTGTAATTTTTATGTTATTGATTATATATGATTTTCATTGAATCTTAACTTGTAATTTTTATGTTATTGATTATATATTATTTTCATTGAATCTTAACTTGTAATTTTTATGTTATTGATTATATATTATTTTCATTGAATCTTAACTTGTAATTTTTATGTTATTGATTATATATTATTTTCATTGAATCTTAACTTGTAATTTTTATGTTATTGATTATATATTATTTTNTTTTATCCTGCCCCTTGCTTCCCCTGCAGCTTATAGTGTCCCTCGCTCACCCCAAGTCTGTTTATCCCAACTTCTCTGCTTCTTTTATCCCCCACAATTGCCTTGACTCAGGCAACAGTTTTAGGTCATAGCTCCTTCTTCTTTTATCCCCCACAATTGCCTTGACTCAGGCAACAGTTTTAGGTCATAGCTCCTTCTTCTTTTATCCCCCACAATTGCCTTGACTCAGGCAACAGTTTTAGGTCATAGCTCCTTCTTTTTTATGTTTTTCCGAGCAGATTTTTGTCGGGAGTTTGCCCACTTAGAGTCCAGCGCTGCAGGGACTCCTACACCTGCTGTCGTTCAGGTGAGGACATTTTTATTTATTATGATTTTTCAGTAAAATTTCTTCTAATTTATTTGTAAATTAATTTAGTATAGAATGCATTCCTAGCGGTTCAAAGTAGTAATTTATCGTAGAACTAGATGAGATTATTATACGCACTTACTATATACCCCTTCTGTTTCCTAATTAATAAATTTTTAATTTATTTATTATTTTGATTTTTTAGATGAGCTCTACCCCCAAAATCCTATCTATCTCCATCCCTGTGCCTCTGTGTCTATATGGCACAAGCTTATAGTCCCTCACTAACTTGTTGCAACGCACTTATCCTACACCGCAATCTTCCGTAACTGCAGTGTCAACGTGATTGAATTTATAGATACGAGCAGATTATAAGATATGCGTAGGAAGTTTCTCGTCATGTGAAATTTACTAATTGAACACCAAAAATTTTGAGATAAACTTCTGCATGAAAAGGGTGAAAGAAATAAACATCAATAACTTGAACATTGCAAATTGATTTTCAAGATGAATTATTGTTTAAAACCATGGAAAATTTCATTCCCAATTTGTTCAAAAAACTTTCAAAGCCGGACCAAGGATTTGGAAAGCTAGAATTTACTCCCCAAAGGAAATTCATAAAAATATTTATTAGCATCCAGCAACGCAGTACAATACAATGATTCTTGGCGACGCATAATATTTGTGTGAGGTAATGATCTACAGTTCCTTATTATATTAATATAATAGCGAGTTTCCCTTGACTTATTGCTGCCAGATTTTCGTCCCTCGTAGGAATATCCGTCCATTTCTTAAATGAATCTCAAGTCGCTCGCTGGCCACGCGTCGTCGCGACTCATCGACAGTTTTGTGTGTAAAATTAGTATCATCTTTAAGGGGAAATCTTTAGTATCGGTATTTAGGTTTTCTATTTGCTTTATTTGTACGTCTATTCAGAATTAATTTTCAATATTAGGTCGTGTTACTAGTATATAGTACTAGTATTTATAATTAATATTTAGTATTAGGATATGGTATTAGAGTTTAGTATTAATATTTATTATTGTATTGAGTCTTAGTATTTTAGTATTTAGCCTCGGCGTTTAGTAGACTCGCCGCAAAGCGTGCGTCAGAATCCACCTCGAGCCATGTCCTCTCACTCAACATCTCACCCAAAAACGTATTAAAAAATATATACATAAATGTATTTTCAATTAACTCAACATGAAAGTCAGAAAAAGTTCAAAATAGAATTTCAATAACAATGTGTTAAAATTTAACAGAATTGTCTTGAAATCCCCATGCCAGCAACATATAACCAACATGACAACATTTCTTTGTCAAATAATACTCCAGCCATATTTGAACTTGAATTGATTGAATTTCGTCATGAAAAGGCGTGAAGACATTTTTTGTATGAAAACCATCATATAGCATCAAATGGTTTGTAATCATACTAATTGATATCAAATGAGTGAGCCAAAACTTTTTTAACTCATTCACAAGCCAAAAAATAATCCCATTCAATAATTTTTATTTAATGCCCGTCTGTCTCAGTAATAATTATACATGATAAAAAATGACCGACTGTGCACACAATTAATTTCCAGTCCGAAAAAAATGCATCAGTTGCACGTATCAATGAGCGCCTCATATTAGAATAGAATAGAATTGTCGGCGTTGAAGACATAGGCCCATGGCCTGTTGCCGATTCTTGAACTTTTCGTGACTTGATTCACAAGGGATCCGGCCTTTGGAACCCGATCTTTCTATAGCTGACGATTGATTGAGATAGCTGCTGGACTTATTGCCTGGTCCGTAATTTGCTAGGCATTTTAAGACTGAACATATGCTCCTGCATTGCTTCGTCTGGACTTATTGCCTGGTCCGTAATTTGCTAGGCATTTTAAGACTGAACATATGCTCCTGCATAGCTTCGTCTAGTCTGTTGTTCTGTCAAATTAACATCAAAGTCTCATCAAGTCGGATTCCATTAATGGCAACTGTCCATACAAAGGCCGCTCGCTAATCCTCTCATGCCGTCATTGCGAAATCCAAACCAATGATTTATTTTTAAAGACTGCGCAGAAGTCAATGATAAAAACCGAGCCTCAAAATTACCCAAAATAAGCCGATGATGAAGACCGGGCCGCTAAATTGCTCAAAATTGAAGACCGAGCCCCTAAATTGCTCAAAATTTGAGACGGGGCCGCTAAATTGCTCAAAATTGAAGACCGGGCTGCTAAATTGCTCAAAATTGAAGACCGGGCCGCTAAATTGCTCAAAATTAGCCAATGATTAAGACCGAGCCTCAGAATTACCAAATTAGCCAATGATGAAGACTAAACCCAAAAATTAAGCAGAATAAGCCAATAACAAAAACCGCGGCTAATGAAACGCGCAGGGAAACTCGTACGCCAGCACGTCACGCTCGTCAAAGAAAACTTCTCATTATTAGGTTTTATTGCTGGAAAAACCGTCAATCGGAAATCAAGTAAATACCACAAATTGTCCTCAACTTTGTTAACAAATTATTTACTTGTTTTCAATTAATAATTTTTTGTTATTAATTGAACATTATTTGCATTAAAAAATGACTTTACTGGTTACATTTATGGTATTTACTTTATTTAAATTTGAATTTGAGACAACACTTTATTTGGACGAATTTTCATGATAAGTTCAGCAAGTAGTAAGAAAATAATGAAATTACTTCTCGCCATATCAACCGATATTATTCGATACGCGACTATTCGGCTATTTTGGACTATTTTTTCCAGTAATTAAATTTGAAAATAGTCCTACATTTTTATAAGGGTACGATCCTAATTTGGGTGCGCTTGATGGCACTTGGCTGAGCTCAACATTCGACTCGAAAATTGAATCTCAATTATTATTTACGTTCCTTTTGGTAACTGTTCAGCTTTTTTGGTAGCTTGATACTTTTATGCACAAACCCTTATATGTCTTACTTATATTTTTGTCCTTTTGGTGGTATATGTGACAAAATCTACCCATTGACTACGAAATATTTTGTTCACTTAATGTAAAAACTTGAGCCTTTATAATGGGGTTTATAGTTGCATCGCTGACAAGGGTCTAGCCGTACCTATGTCTGCATTCCCGCTAACGAGCCGAAATGACAAAAGTTAACAACAAAGGAACTGATCGAACTTTCTCCAAATTATTTTTTTTCGATAACCTAATTAACCCAACTTTCGCCAGATTTTCGGCCAAAATTTCCCATTGAAATAACCCTTAAATTATTTCTCTTGCAGCCTGAACGCGATATCGAAATCAGCCGCAATGCGACACTCAGTCCTGGTATTCAAGAATCAACCGCGACCAACCCTGCCTTGTACTCCTGTGGTTACCGGTACATCAGAAGAGGCAGCGACTTTACTTGCAATGATATCTCAAACAGAAACGAAATACCTCAAGGCAATGAACAACGCCATGTTGGCTTTCGGGTCGATGAGTCCTTACACAGACAAGACCGTGCAGAAGAAAGTGGATCTTTAGATAGACGTTCGATGTCATCTCGTATCAATGACCTTCGCAAAGAAATTGGTGTCAACGATGACGTCATGTGGGGGTCTCCAGGTCACAGTACAGGTGATTCACAGTATACTTTCGTAGACTCATCCAGAGTCTCGCCTTACCACGATCATGATGTCGTTAATAATCTATTTAATAGCTTTAAGTTAGTCTACAGACCTTCAGCTGGTCTTACCAGCAATTATTACGATTCTTCATCAACAAGTTTAGTGCCCAGGGCCTCTCAGAACCACCTAGAGTCACCCAGAGTCTCTGGTACGTTAGAGTCTCCTGAAAAGTTGACTCCGACTCGGGCGCCTCCCTTGGCCCGTCGTGGTGGAGTAACGGCCAGCGGATGTACGAGACGGACTGACGAGAGCTACGTTTAATTAAAAAGTTTAATTCGGGCATAATGATGGTAAAAAGCTTGCTGGCTCATTTTTACATATTTTTAAAGTTATTTTTATGAAATAAACTGACCGAGAATGTTGCTACTTGTCAATTGTAAATGTGTTGCACAATGTCAAGGATTTTCTCATACGGGGAAAGGAAGATTGGTAGCCATTGTCATTAATGAATTTTTTAAGGCCTTAATTGTCTCTAGTTTTTTTTTATCGATCAAGTGTCAATTTCGTTCAATTTGTGCAATGTTATAGATCTTTGATCAAAGCTCTTAACTCTTTAACGTGATATTTAATTAATAAAATGCCAATCAGAGCGAATTTCACTTGGTCGAGCCTCACTATTTGGCATGTCATTGCCTTTTCCTAAATTTTACCGGGATCAATTAAATTAATAACGAAGCTTTGCGCTTAATAATCTATACCGGCAGTCATATTGTGCTGTGACACAAAAAGTTACTAGATTTGTGATGCAATTCTAACTTGCAGTGGTGATTTTCATAATTTCTTTCTTCTCTGAAAACCTGTTTGAGAATTTTTTTCAATAATAATAAAACCACATAAATGTTAACCTGTCTGAACAAGCTCACGATTATTCATCATACATGGTATCTTTATTTTAACATCGTTGATGGTCATGAAAAAGTTAATATTACAGACTGGTATTAAAAACCATGCGTTCATCACAAAATACGGAATATGACGAAAATTATATAAATATATGAAGAAAACATTCAAGATATTATGCCAAATTATTATTTCCAGAACAACCAACATGCGTTAAACTCAAATGTTCACGGAATGAACAGTATAATTGTGAAATCTGAATAATTGTTAGACCATAATTCTTGTTCAGGGCATTTTTACATTACGAAACTGAAATCATCCCATGTGTTATGGCAATGATACACCCTTCATCAGCGCCATAGGGTACGTACACAGTGAAAGTTGGTTTGCCCGCGCGAGCAACCTGCTCCAACCTGCCACAAGAATGAACATAGGATAATAATGTAAGTGTTCACAGTGAAAATCTGTACGAATAGGCTTCTGTATTCTATGGTTTCAGGCGCCAGCCTGAGCAGGTAACCAGCACGCTGGCAACCTGCTTTCACTGTGTGCGTACCCATACCGTGATGCTAAGCCTCTTTTCTCATGAAGATACACGTAATTGATATTTAAGTCAACCCGATAACATTTAACCCCGATAATGAAAACGTTAAGAATTTCGATGTCAAAATGGGAAAACAAAATATTTATAATTTAACTGGTGATTATTTTGCAAGACATATATATGGAAAATGAGATTATTGAGAATACAAACCCTCTAAAACAAGACTACATGCTAATAACTCCCGTGACTAATTACAGCTAGTTTATACATCTAGCTATACAGCTAGATTATCTTTCACATAACATTATCTGGATCCGACTTCAGTGTTCGTAGATTTTAAAGACGTAACAACAGCAATCCCAAATAAAATTTCGCGTTCGAGCACCGGCAGACCAAACTAATTAGCGTCCAAATTTCGTAATCGATAGAATAGGCAAGATTTCCATCAAGCTGACCGCTGTTTAAAAAGGCAATTTTACTTGTAAATGACGGTTTAATTACTGTATGCTACCCTGATATTTCGATTTCGATGTAGATATTAAGTATGCAGACAGCATATTTAATAAACGAAAGACATATTTTGACATCCCTCTTATAAGCTACTTTGAAGCTAATGTGAGCGATTAAATTAAATTACCAATATGATCAAATTTTAAATTCTTAAACGCATTAACAATTGGAACAATAAACAATAATCACGTAGGAAAACAAAGTTTACTTAATACATTCAAGGAAATCAGGCAACAGTTTCTCTCAGTTTCATCGCACAAGCCTGCCTCGCTGCAGTTGTGGTCCAGGACCTATACTTTCAAAACTCGCCAAGTGAACGTAAGTACTTACGCTCTATTTTCTTATCTATGATTGGTGGATATTGCTTGAAACGCCGTCACTGATTGGCTGATGAACTTACGATCTCTTAATTTTTTTTTTTGAAAGTATGGCCTCAGGTCGCTCATGAGGCCTCGTCAGATTGGAAAGCGTTCCAAGTTGCGAGCAGTCGTGGGAAGCGTCCATATGACGGCGGCTCCAGCCATTGTTGTTTTAGATTTAGCGTCGGTAACGTGAACGCTTTCTGGACCTGCCTCTTCACAAACACACCACCGTATTATGGCAACATTGCAACTGATCAACATCTTTGGATGGAATGTTTTTCGGGCTTTCTTGCGTATCGATAATTAGAATTTTTTGGCACAGGTTTTAACTGCAAATATATTTGTATTCCGAATTGATTTAGAAAAAACACGCTTACAGATTTAGGAACAAATATTTACACGATGGTAAAATCTTTTACCGTTGGGCCAGGGATTTAGACTTTGTTTGAAAAATAAAGAATTAACTTTTTGATTTTTATCACTTTCGGCTCGAATTTTTAGGTCTTTTTGCTCTGATTGAACTGTGGAACAAATGTACGTGCCACACAAAATGCGCGTTCCAGGTTAGATATAACAATAGATTGCAGTAGTTCGAATTTGCCTTTGTTTTCAAATTCAGATTTGGCAAACGCCTTTCACTGGGCTCTGAGAACTGCCGTTTGAAGGTGCACATTGAAAGTAATAAAAATATTTTGTTAATATTGAGTTGGACACAGTAAAGCTCAGCCTCATGGTTTTCATTACATTTTCCGCTTGAAAATAATGCGAAGCCTCGAAATGTGTGTTTCATTTGTTGGTGCGAATTATTAATGGAATAAGGTTGAGAAACACTTATTCATACGCATTATATGTATGCATTTAACGAAAGAATAATAAATTGTAAAGTCAGTAAATAGAGGTGAATGTTTCGTCCGTGTCTGTTATAGAAATTAAGTGACATAATGTATCATTTAAGAACATCGTTGTTAAAATTTTTAATCGACCAGTCGATTCAACTTTTAATGAAGCCTTCAACCAATTAATTGATTAAGCTTTTTTGGTAATTAATGGAATCGAACGAACAAGCGAATTTCATTTTATTTCCTATATTATAATATTAAAACTGAGTCTTATCTACTAAGAGTTGTCTTATCTACTTTCATACACTCATGAAGATGTAAAATTTATTGAGGATAATTATTTGCATAAAGCCTACCACTTTTGTACGATTTTTTATTTATTTCTTAATTAATAATCAGTTCACTAACTGTACTATTCCTCCTTCGTTAATTGATTTTCTCAGGCAAGAACATTTCAGAATAAAGATGTCCTTAATTTCTGTGTATCATTTTTACCCTCTCTGAAATTTTTACTTTGATCATTGATTTTCATGTTATTTACAAACAAGAATGGGTACTTATTGCCGAGTACTGTAAAATAACTTAATATGGTACTAATAATTCATACATATATATTTATTCTTTAATATATTGTGATCCGAAACGCACAGGCAAAGTTTCTTGGTCACAAAAAGCATGCCTCATTTTCGTACTAAACTCCAGAGAAAAAGAACCCAGATCGATAGACGCGAGAAAGAATCTTCATAAAAATACATGACTTTTGATAGTCTGAAGCAACAAGGCATCATAAAAGAATGGCAGTCCAAACAATGGTTTCTTCCGATCCTTTCACTCAGATGAGCTGTGCTGTGTTCACATTGATCTCCTCACTACAGAATTCCGATGCAGCGCTCGAGCTCTTCCAGCACCAACAATCCTTTCAGAAATCCCAGCACGTCCTATGGTTCCGTAAACTGGACATTTTGTCTCTGCCCTCCTGACAAAAAATTTAGGCATTCAGAGTTACTTCCTTGCTGGACATAAAAATAAATGACACTTACAAGTTGATGACCGCACATCAAGCATTGATTGAACGAATATTTAACCCGCCTACTCATACAAATGAATTTACGCTTATTTGCCAATCAGTCTTCATGTGGGAATTATTACACTATCGCGCTGTGAAAATATACTTCAATGTGTGGTAAAAAATGATATCCAAACGATAATTATTTTCGATCGACATTTTTGAAACATGGTGAAGGTAGCGTTGTTTTTCTCCGGCGATTGGAATAGCGCACTCGCTTCCGTTAAAATTAATCCATAACCTGAATTTCATTTAACTGTCAAAAAATAATAAACGTAATTTGTTAACACTTAGCAATAAACTATCAACTTCAATATAAATTAAAGACGAAAAATCTTACCATTCATATCTAGAAGCAAACCCCGAAGCTTAAGGAAGCGTAATAATGCAGTACAATCAATAAAAAATTCTAGGAAGCAACTTCTACAAAATATAAATTAATTAGCACAATTTATTATCATTCTTTCATCATAAATAGTATTCCCGTCTGCATGTAATTGTATCATCACGCCTAAAATTCCTAGAATATTTTTTTTTATATTCCGACGCCTCGCCATGCAAATCAGATTCCTTTGAACAACAGCTAGTAATAATTAAATAAACATGCGGCCACGTGCCACAAATATTCCTCTACATTTCATTTATCTGAACATTACCAGAGTATTATTCAGCAAACTATAAATTATTTCCCATTTATTGTTATTATTCGTTTTTATTAGAACCGATTACTGTCATTTGTCATGATTAGTGCGCTATTTATACTGGATATTGCACTCTAGGTCGAAAATTCCTGGAAGACAACACGTTGACAGCGAATTTCCTTTGAGGTCAAGTAAAAATCATTTGTTAAAATTCGTTCTGCAAAAAAATGTACAAAAACCACGTCCATACCTTAAAACAGAAAAAAAAAACAAAATGACGGAGGTCACTGAAATCGATGATCCATTTGAGGATTATTGTTGTTTTTTGATGTCTGTGGGGACAAATGTTTTGGCATTCGAGATGACCCTGAATCACCGCAGGTTCGCTGACTTCGACTTCATTTGGTCCGTCCCACAACTTGTCGAAATTATTTCAGGTTTAGTGACACCGTTCTTACTCTACGAGCCACTGCAAGCTTCTTGAATTGGCCTGGTTTATCGATTGCGCCCATCACCCCGCTCCTGTTGCTAACTTAAATAGAGATTCCAGAGCTCTGTTTCCTCTATAAATCGTCTTAGGTCGCTGAATCGTCCAGACTTATCGCTTGAGTCCTCTATCACTCCGTCCGTGCTGCTTGCTTAAATAATCAACGATTCCAGAACTCCGTTTCCTCTATGATCGCCTTTTAGCTTGCTGAATTAACCAGGCTTATCACCTGCATCCTTTACCACCCCGTCCCTTTTGCTAACTTAAACAACCAAAGATTCAGTCACTCTGTTTCCTCTACAAGTGCCGTATAGCTTGCTTAATCCTCCAGGCTTACCACCTGCATCCTTTATCACCCCGTCCCTTTTACTAACTTGAACAACCAAAGATTCAGTCACTCTGTTTCCTCTATAAGTGCCGTATAACTTGCTTAATCCTCCAGGCTTATCACCTGCATCCTTTATCGCCCCGTCCCTTTTGCTAACTTAAACAACCAAAGATTCAGTAACTCTGTTTCCTCTGTAAGTGCCGTATAGCTTGCTGAATCATCCAGGCTTATCACCTGCATCCTTTATTCCTTTTGCTTTTGTCCCTTTTGCTTACTCATCCCCCGTCCCAGTAGCTTGCATAAATCAGCCCAGCTTCATTGACTTGGCCTAACAGCATCGCTGTGTATGCGACGCGTTGGTTCGGCAGCAGCAGCACATGAAGTGCCGGTGATGAGGGAGCTTCATTGGACACGGTGAGGGATGTGCATAATTGCCAGCTGGAGATCAACTTCCTGAGCGTCAGATCAAATGCTAAGGAGGTGATACGAGACTCGTGGCAACACGAATACAAATTCTCGACCCAGCGCCTATTACCTTGATGAAAGATTCAATGGAAAAAATTCATCGCAAGTGCCAAAAGA